CCAAACCAGTCTGTGATTCTATGATTTTCTGATCCATAATTTTCTCCTCAGGCCAAGGATCATTTATCTACAGCAAAAGAATCAACTTATTTTTTTTAATTGACTGCAAAGTCACCTAGTCATCTTCTTGAAATTCACTTATGGTAATAAATTTTTTTCCTTGATCAGAAAATCAAAATCACGTCATTCAAACTTGCTGCCAGAGGCTAAAAAACTACACCCTGAAACAATGACAGTGACAATGAACCAGGTTTTTGCATTTACAAGCACATCTCCACAGCTGGTTGATGAAAATAACACCGATGGGTGTTATCAGTAGTTCCTCAAAACAAAAAGCAAGCTTGGAAGACAGAGATGGACTTAATTACAGCAGTGTTGAATTAAGCCCAAGACCCATTAATATCACATTACAAGTCTGTCTCAGCAACACATTGATAAACTAAAGAGATTTTAAGTTATCTTTGCCTACCTTGAGCGTACAAAGTAAGAACAGCCTGAATGGCTACATACACCCCAGAAAACTGGTATGTCTCAAACATAACCTGTAAGATGAAGGCAAAAATTAATGTCCAAAACAGGCCAAATACTCAAAAAGAAATTTCACGTACGTTTAAAAACTGTATTTCTCCAATTCTGTATTTTTACTAATGAAAAACATTTTCCTAAAAATAAATTTCACTTATTTTTAAAAACCATATTTCTCTAATTCTGTATTTTTACTAATGAAAAACATTTTCCAATAAATTTCCTCATACAAATTCTACAAAGAGTAGAAACCTACTTGTTTTATGGCAGTGAGGAGTACATTCAGCTCTATGCCTTACCTGTTCATACAAGATGAGCCAGGTGAAATATTCCACATCTCTTTAGCAACAAAAGTGAGTAATTCCCAGAAACCCACACACCAATTTCTGCAGCTTTACCAAGCCATTTTCCAATCAGTGGGAGGCAGTCCTTGTAGAGCGGCCAAGTACTTCATTACCAAAGTGTGACTTGGGAATGAAATGTTTGTTAAAGGTGGATGCTCTGGATCTAAAGAAATTCAGTGGGGTTTTTTATCTTAATTCTTCATATCAAGCCCTATAGACTTTGTACAACCGCAGACTATGTCAAGACCAAACAGACTCCTACGCACACAGGTGTAGAATAAGCCCAGTGTCACGGGGTTTTTTTGCATCTGGGCTGCTTTCTTCCCTTCTTTAAAACATCATTGATGACAAACATCTAGAATTAGTGCAAAATGCACAACTGAAATAGGACAGGTAGGGCTGACTCTGTCACTGCATACAGAAAACCACAGGTTTGCAGAACTCTTGCTGAAACAGGAAAAGTAACTGCCTGTCTTGCAGACTAGGTTCCCCTAACCACTAAACTAGTTTCAGTGAAGAAACAGGATCTCAGATTAAAGGATGTAGAGTTTATAGGATCTTGTCTTCTCTATAAACACAAAAAAGACCAAGTAAACAAACCATACTGTACAGCAGCTTTCCCTTCAGAATTCTTTACCAGGAAAAACAGATGAACTCTGATTATTCCAGCACATACACAAGTTTTGCTTTTGTTATTCTGCAGCCCCCTGAGCACTTCTGTAACTTCCAGGATTAGAAATTGATTAAATCCTAAGTACTCCCACAGCTCAAGTAAGAGATATCTAAACATTTCTAAAGAAAAAAAAAAAGCTGATGCCTGACAATTTTAGAATTCTGAACTATTTAGAGAACTTCCTCTGTTCAAGTAGCATGATTTTAAACAGCTGGCCCATATCAAAAACCCGATCCTTGCAAAGTCAATTATTTCATGGCTGTATGGAGCACACCACAAAAGCCCTGGGAATACCACTGCCACCTTTCTGGGGATATTTGCTGTGAGCACACAGCACGGCCGAAGTCAAGCAGAAAGGAACAGAGAGGGAGTGAGCTGCAGAGCACCCTGCCACGAGAACATCACCCTTTGGGTTTTTATAAACCCCCAGTGCAAACTGGGTGATATAAAAGGAAATTTAATACAGTACTCAAGTGCACGGGTTGAGAATGAGCAAGACATTACGAGGCTGGCTAGTAACTTCTGTAATGGCCACAATTTAGCACACAGCAATACCTTCAGAAAGAAGAAGCAGAAGTGTCTGCCAGAAAAGGAACAGTGGAAAGGGCAGCAACTCAAAAAGAGATCCCGTTTGAGTCGTCATTGTCTAAACCCAGCACTATTCCAATGGATGCGTCTTTCAAACAACCCGAGTGCTTACAAAATTAAAAACTGATGTAAAGGAAAATCTAAATTATCTTCATACAACAAAATGAGTATTCAAATGGTATTGGTTACTGCCTTCAAATGCTGTACTAAACCCTAGAAGACACTGCAAAACTCTTTTATAAGCTATATGCCAGCCTTTGGGGGGTTGTTATTCTTTCTTTCAACACATCAAGGTCTGTTCTGTGGGACATGAAAAATGCCTTGACACGGGACATATATGTTAACAAATCTTAAGGTGTCAATACTGAGCAGGATGTTATCCTGAAAACATTCTTCTTCTCATGACAGCAGCTTCTGGATTACCTACAAAGTGATGTTCTAATTAGGCACAGAAAGGAAGAACTAAAAATTGGGGGGGGGAATCTTTTAATATTAATAATAAATTTCATAATAAAAATTATAAAGATTTAATAATAAATAATAATTTTACTAATAGATAAGTAATAAAGTTTGGTATTAGGAGAAGTGACTGTGCTAGAGTATCTGTACAGCTATGTGTTATGCTGTTACAGTCTGGCTGCTCCTGAGGGTATCCCAGAACGAGAATGCAGCAGGTAACTAGAGACAAACAGCAAACAGTTAAGCTGAGGAGCAACCAGTGTCTTGTACATGCTATGAAAGAAACAGCACTTTAAAATATATATATTTTACAGTATAGCTGTCATGTGAACACTTGCTGCTGTTAATATGCAGCTGTGTTTGATGGAGCTATGGGGAGAGGAAAGAATTACTGGAAGTAGAATGAAGTACAGCATATATAATTATTTATCATCTTGATATGGTCCAGATGACTAAGCTTTTTTTAAAAAAAACCCAAAAAATCCCCAAAAATGCTACTGCACTGTATCACAAAATACAGAGACACTTATGTTTACTGCAGGCTTTAGGAAAAATCTTAATTCAGTCCTCTGCTTCATACTGGGTTAGGTGCCCTGAAAAGGAGGAGCCCATGTCAAAAATGGAAGGAGAATAAACATGTTGCAGTTCAAAACCTAAATATTGCTAGTCCTCCTAACACTGTGATCCATTTAAAATATTAATAAAAACAATGAGCTTCTGTTTAACTCAAATTTAAATTTCCAAAAAGGGATTTTAGTTCTCTGTAATCCTCTGGATCATGATTAAATATCTACAATCTCTGGAGTGATTTAAAAAAAGCAAACGGGGGCAATACAAATATTTTGTCAGAGTTTAGATGCCATACAAGACTTTTCAATTTAGGGTATAAAATTAGTCAGTTTCAGAATAACTAAAACCCAGCCTTTTGTGTTGAGCAGGAAAACAGAAACAAGAACACTATTGTAGACAGCTGAAAAGCAAAAGAAGCCTGAACAGGAAATTCAACCATTCCTGTGACACGGAGGCCACCCAGAGCAATCTGCTGTGTCTGTCACACCCCAGCTGACCAATACACAACAGAGGGTATCACTAGTGCTGTGTTACGTAATCCTAAGGTCATAGGTCCTTAGAAACTGCTAAGAAATGCTGAATTTAGGTGGTGCAGTTTGATTTTTTTTTTTTCACTTAAGTTTTTCTGATTTTGCTATACTGCATTTGCTCCCCAGTCACTGAAAGAAAAGATTACTGCAAATATATTCACTGTGTGATGCAGAAAGGACTACTGTAGCTGTGACAGCAAAGAGATTTTAAAGGAAAGGTCACTAATGATAAAGGTAAATTCTTATTAGACTGAGCAGCAGATTTGGGTAAAAAAAACAAACAAATATGTATATAAACACACACACACAAGCTTTCATATTCAAAGTTCTGATAAATGGTTACGGTTTCAGACTTAGAATCCATTTTTCCTGCCATATCAGCTACTCTACCAACACACTTCTTAAATGAATTTTTGTTACACTGAATACTTACATTAACTGAAAATACCTATGACGCTTGAGGAAAATAAAAAAACCATGAAGCTAAACTTTTTGTTCTCCTCAAACATTACTGCTCTTCAAATTGACTCTTTGTCATGTGGTACCTGAGCTAAACAATCTGACAACATACACTAACACAAGGTTCAGATGGAGCTTAGGTCATCCAGAGCAGCACTCTCAGACTGAGGATCCAAGAATCTCTCTTTCCTTCTTAGAAGGCTTCCACTGATAATCCCCAGCATTAATCAAAGATTAGTGACTTGGCTGTCATCACACCTCTGTCTCAGCTACCTCCAACAACACCGCTCCATCTGGTGTGCATCATCTCAGTCTCCTCTGAAGCATTACTGGCTTACAGGAGCCCAAGTCACTGAAAGTAATTAACATTCACCCAATAGCCAGTAATTAATATAACTCTGTTACATGAAGATAAAGACATATTTCCAATTCTGTGTTTTAATGGTGATATAGCTTGAGGAAAGTAGCCTGCTTATAGCTTTTGAATGAGATCAGCTTGTTTGAATTAAGCCACAGTAGCCTTCAGGACTATGGCTGAGGACGAGTTTTGGTTAGAAAACAGGAGAATTGCTTTGCCTCAGACAGTTACCAGATGTTCCAAGAAGATAAAATCACCTAACGATGCTTCAATGACAGTACATACCAGTTTCTACTAGACAGACATACCTCCACGATCTTCTCCCTGTTTTTAGTTGGATTCATGGGAGGTTCCGTGAGTAGTATTTTACAATTTTTTGTGTCAATATTAAGTTTTTCTGGTCCAAATGTGTAATCCCAGAGGTGCTTCATATCATCCCAGTTCCGAACGATGCCATTCTCCATTGGATAATTCACTTCCAGCATTGAGCGTAATTCACTCGCTTCATCACCAACCATGAGATCCTGTAAAATTTTTTATACAGAAACATGTCATTGCTTGCAAAGTTTTCCAAACATCAAAATCCTCAAGAATGACACTGAACTGCTCCAGCCTGTGTCCAACTGTGTCCTTAAACAACACCCATGTTTTAGAATCATTTTCAGGTACTTAGGAGAGAAGTAGAATATTATTTCATGTCGTATTTAAGTTTGGTTGTTACCCACCCCAAACCTTTTCCAAAATAAACTTTAATTCCATTTGCCAATTTACCTTAAACCAACAAACCCTGTTACAGCTAGATGCTACAAAGACCTTTATAAATACCACTGGTTCTCCACTGACACCTCCAAAATTCTTTTATCAAATACTAATTTCTAAGGGCTGAGATGCAAAATAGCACATAAGGGGAGTAGGTGGGATTGGCAGAATATTTTTCCATGCATGTTGCAGATTTCTGTGCACGATACCATAAAAGGAATAATGAGTGATGAATAAGCATACTGAACAGTAGCAAAAACAAGGAAGAGATTAGAAGTTCCACACTAGACATTAAAAGAAACAATGGTTTACATATTGCCTATGTCAGTAGGGTGTGAAGAGACACATCTAAATATTAACTATACCCTCACCTGTTCCATGCCAAAAGTCCCAAGCCAAAAACCCCAGTACCACATTCTTGCACAAGTAAGACCAACTAATGCATAATTTGTATACTCATTTCACACTGATTAAGCAATCTGTTTATTCAAGTTAGTTATGCAAACATTGCACATTCAAATTAGTAGCAGCGTATCTTCTCCTTTCCCACGTGTTTCCCAGAGGAACTATGCACAGTAGCACCTTATCTTTGCTCCCTATTATAACCCATACTTTTCTAAATAAAAACCTTAACTGACTTGCTTCTATTTAGCTTATAAGAATATCTTTCTAGGTACCAATAGCACTGTTTCCATACTAGTATTATATTCATTTCATAGCAAAAAAACCCAGCTGTTTTCATACAAAAATATGCCACCGCAGTTTGCAGTTGCTGTGGCACAGAAAACTCTGAAGTGAGGGTCACTCGATCTACTATCCAATGCCAGGGAAAAAAAGATGCACAGCAAAAAATCCAGCATCCGGTTTATAATGCCCTTTTTAGATGTAACCTAAACAGTTACTGGTGACCACAAAAAAGGAAGTTAATTGAAAAGAATTTAAATCAAACTATTCCTCTTCTACTCCCTCTCCCAGACAAGGTGTTTTATGTGTTGTCCCTCGCACAGATGACCATACTTCACTTCTCTACTGTACAGAAAAGTCAAGACTAACATTTTAAATCAACCATACTCTAGTGAAACTGTGCTATGAAAACTCCACCATGTACCACGTTACTCCTGAGAACTGAAGACGACAGAAACTCCACCAGTCAGAAGAAGCAGAAACCGTTTTTGTGCACTATTCTTTGAGGCTCTATGCTACCAAACAGGACAGCCCAGGAAAAACAGCTATTCAAATGTGAAATGAAGGTTGCACAAAACTTTCATGTCCTTTTAAAACAAAGTTAAACAGCAGAGGAATTGTTCTCAAGAGCACGTTAACACACACACATGCACTTGGTAGGTGAAGAGGAAGGAGGACAGCGCAACTCATTTTGCAGAGAACCACCATGACATTCAATGTTTCCACCACACTGATACTCAGTAAAATTTGTCTAACTGAAATCTAGAAGTTTTTTCAAGCTCTTGGTTTGTCATGTTAAATATAGCGATTTCTGCTCTTAAAGATGCTGAGTTCGTGTTGATCTAAGAGTTATTTTTACATCTTGCAAAACTACAGGTTATGTAGCATTTAGAAGCAATACATTAAATATCTTCATGAATTAGTTGCTAGTAAACCAAAGCAATGAACAACATCCAAAATAAGTATGGATTCGAATGTAAAATGTAGGACAAGACAAAAAACAATGAAGAGCATCAAAAAAATAACATAACAGCTACTTGGTCCCATCAAGCAAAAACGGTCAACAAACAGCACGGGGCACCTCACTTACCATCTTTTTGTTATTCTACTTCAACAGGTCAAGAAAGGTGAAGAAAGAAGGTAGAAGCAAGAAAGTCAGAAAAGGCCTAAACGAAATTCTCAAAATTATTTTAAGTACACAGTAGAAATAGGCTGAAGAGAGATGCACGTACAGCGGGAAGTGACCCGAGTTAGTTCAGTTAAGGCCAAGGGAACATTCTCAGGATCTCAGATTAAAATGTCTCTTTAAAGGAAGTTATTGCTACATGTCACCGGCATGTCATGTTTAGGCATCTTGCGTTGCAAACGAGATCAGTATATCTGCCTCCTTCTCATAAACGGGGTTCTGTGCATAAATATTCTGTAACACTGGAGTTTTATCCTGGGCAAGGCGTTTATACGAACTAGACACAACTCTGCACAATGCACTTGACTATAACTAGCTCTGACAAATGCAAAATTTAAATTTTATTGTAAATATTCTGCTTTAAATACCCAAGAACTAAAAACTATAACATAAAAGTATCCACTAAAAAGCAGGCTAATCTGTTCATATATCCTGGAACAAATACCCAGAAAGAATCAAATAAGAGATATTCACTTATGGTATCTACTCTCGGAATGGAAATGAGCAATCATGAAGTGCAGTAGTAAGAGCAGTGTCTCAAAG